CAGAATGTGGCTGTGGGGATGAAATGAGTGCGAAAAAAAGAGCTTCATGAAGTCCAAGGTGCTATAAAAAGTCACTGCTGAGCTCTTGTTGTTGGTAACAAGTGCCCAAGCCAATAATGCACAGTTGAGGCTTCACAACGCAGTCAGGGATCTCATCCTCTTTCCTCCTCCCCTTCCCAAGGCTCCCTCACTTCCCGGCCTCTCCCCGGCAGACAGGTCTGGATTTTAGCATTACTTGCTTAATGAGACCTACCTTGGAGTTGATTCCTGTTTGGAATCCCTAAAACGCTGGCTAACCTGAGCCCCTTCCCCTAAAAGCCACTGCTAGCCTGTGCCTCAAAAGGAGCTGTGGGAAGTTTGAAGTCACTCAGGATGAAACCCTTTTGAAGTCTGTCATTTCTCAAAGTGAACAAAACCCTAGTCCGTATTAAATGAGATAACATAAAGGGCACCAGCCACTCTATTCACTTCCCTTTTCCGGCAATAGATGCACATAGATTTCCTGCCCGTTTATAAGGCTATTGTTCTTGGTTTAGGAGGAAGTTGTAAAACAGTAAAACAGAAAAAAAATCTTTGATATCTTTATCCTCAATAAGACCAAAACAACCCTTCACTTCAATTGAGTTTTAAGCCCCTGCAAGAGTCACGTCTGACTTTGTTCCTGGACCTCAGAGACTGTCACCCCAGCCGGTGACTCACCCTCCCAGAGGAAAGGGTGGGGCTGCCACAAGTAAACAGGGAGCAGGACACCTAAGTCTGAGAACCTGGGGAGCATCTTAACCGGTGGGAGCTTCCAGCTACGGGACAGATTATCAGTATGGAGATACGGGCTTCAAAGAGATCACTGTGGTCCAGCGCTCACTAATACTGCCAAATTTTAGCTCCAAACACTAGAAAAGTTTGCCTGTGATTCAGCAAATATCTCTTTTTGGTGTTATGGGTACAAAGTAGAATTTCCCCAAATTTTTGAAGTTATTTAGAAGCAAGCGTTCTCCTTTCTTACCTCTGCTATCTGCCTCTTTCCCTCCCAAAATCTCATCCTTCACACTCCAGGCCTGAGCGCTCTGGTGGAGAAGTGGGTCAACTGGCAAAAGATGTCTCCCTTGAGCAGGCATTTCCCCTACCAGCTATCTCAATCCCAAGAGCCCGTTGGAGGACAACCATTATCTAGAGCTTAGAATCCCTCTTCTGCTGGGGCCGTCCAGCATGCCCTCTTGGCCTGGCTGGCCAAGAACCATTGGCCCCACCAGGTGTGCCTTCTCACCCTATACCCCACAGGTGTGTTCCGCCCATCTCAGAGCTTGCAGAGCAGATTCTCCCAGAAATGAGGAATTGGAAATCAGACTGCTAGTTAGTCTCTGTTTATGTGACAAAAGGTGAAGGAACAGGAATATTCCAGAGTTGAGAAAGAACCATTTTCTGCTACCTGCACTGAGGCACAAAATCTGATGATACAATGAAACTCCTGAGGAGAATAAGCCAGAAAGGGAGAGAGAGAGATAGGGGCAAGGGGAGGGGAGCAGGGGAGGGGAGGGGAGGAAAGAAAGGGAGAAGTGACGATCTTGGTGTTTGATGGCTCTCTGGTTCTAGACTCCCCCACCCCACCCCCACCACAACCATACAGTTCCCTGTCCTCAGCTGCCATGAGACATACCTGTATCCATGTAGTTAATTCCTACCTTTATTTAAGCTAGCTCTGGTTGATTTCTAATATGTGCAACTATAGTAAACATTGAAGCTGCCTCCTTACATACATTTCCTCTTTCTTGGAAACCACTTCAATTTTCATTCTGTTATGCACATTTTCTCAGTGCCACACACATGCTTTAAGAGAACTGTGTTCCAGAACAATATTATGTGACTCAGGCTTAAGTTAATGAACATACCCTGATCCCCTAACACAGTTGCAGGCTCAGGAACGGACCAATCAGCCACTGAAGCTATTACATGTAAGGAGGTCTTTCGGGAGCTTCCAGATTACTCCCTCCCTGGCTTCTCAGATCCTGATGAGGACACATGCAGGCCAGGGAGCTGTTGACAGCCATATTATAACCAGAGAGAGATAACACCACAGATGACTAAATAGAAAAACAGGAAAGAAGCCTATTCTTGAAAAACATCACTGAGCTGCCAAATTAAACCATTCCTAAAGTCTACCCTCTCTCAGACTATCCAGTTACATGATCCAATGAATCCCTTTAGCTAAACATCTTAACTGAACTTCCTGAGACATTACTTTGAAAATTAATTACGGGAAACCTCACTGAAATGCTATCAGGAGGCCAGCAGGGGAAGATCTCCTTTACCACCCCTCCTCATCAATTGCAGGCCCCATCAGAAGAAGTCTACTTTACTACCCACAAGGAAGAAGGAAGGTTTCCACCTCCGCCCCAGCAACAGCCCAGCCAATGAGAAACTGTCACAACTCAGCCAATGACAAACCATGATACCTGGGACTCCCAGTTTCCTCCGTGGATGTTTTGTTTAGAACAGCCCTCCCACCTTGGTCCCTTCCTGTATAAAAGATCAGTCCTCTTCATTCTCCAGACTTGCCAGTGGTTTTGCCATGCCTTGCTTGTCTGAATTGCAATTCTCTGCTATTCCTGAACATACCCATCATTGCTGGTAAAATAACTGACCGTTTTGTTTTTAAGGTTAACATCTCTAATGTGCATGCAGTAGTCCCAACCTACTTTAGTGTATTCAGGGGGAATAAAAAGCGAATCAGGAAGAGAGAGCTTCATTGGAAAATTGGAGGCTCCCTAGATACTAGCCCTCCTCTGCCACAATTACCAGCGGAAACAGGCAAGCATGTACCTTGAGTCCAACAACTCATTTGCAAAATGGAAAGGATTAGACTTCAAGTGCTAACATTCTATCATTCTAAGTCTAGACCCTTAGCTCCAGTTTTTATGGAGTCCCACTGGGGTAGTTTATAACTACCTAAGTAAATTATGTGATGTTTTCAAACTCAGAAACTAACCACAAAAATAACAATGACAAGATATTTTATGTGCATGAAAACTCCTGCTCTGAGGCCAGAAACCCAGGATTAGAATTCTAACCTGGAGAGGCTGAGAGAGGAAATGAGGGCATACAATTGAAGAGTCTTCTGGCTGAGCCCTGTTCACATAGGCCAGTCCTTAGAGCATTTTTAAGTTATGATAACTTAGAAATCCATGACCCTGCTTGGTCACACCCAGCCAGGAAACATCCTTCACTTGAGCTGTGTGGTTGCGGTGGATTCTGACAATGGAAAGACCAGCTGATCCGTCAGGCTTTGTAAAAAGGATCTAAGGGTGTGATATTTAATTTAGGCTTTGAATTAGTTGAAGAACATACTGAACTCTTGAAAGTTAGTATTTGTTATTGATATTATTTTTCAAGACATTTTTAAATTGTCAGAGATTGTTTTGTTTTTCCATTTTGTGGCCTGGTTACTGCTAAGAAAATAAAACCTGTCCCAACCTAGAAACTCAGAAGTGATACTCCAGGTTCTCTCACTGGAAAGAATAACAAAAACAAAAACCGGCATAATTGACTTCCACCACAAAGGGCACATACAAGATTGTGTGTGATGGTGCATGCACACAGACATACACGCACAAATTCATGAAGGATCTTGGACCCAGTTGTGCAGAAACCAGTCTGGGACCAGACCTGCCATATGGATTTACTTTTATTGGAGGTTTCCAAATATTCAAGTTTAGAGCAGACTTCAGTACCATATTTTTCAAGAAGTCTCCTCTCCCCACAGCTTTAAATATAGCTGAGCAAAAGTAAAGCACGATTTCAAAAGAACAAAGCAGGAAAAGATCATAGATCATCATTTGGTGAAGAACCAAGGACGTATTGTATAACAGGATTAGTATATCAGGCCAATTTCAAGACTGATGTCTACCCAAACTAGAGAAAATAATACTGAAGAAAAATAATTCTGGAGATCATAAAGAAACAGTAGGGTATGCATTTCCCAAACGCCTTTAGATCAGAGTTAAAAAAAAATACATGGGTTGGTTGGCCCAAAATGTATTTAAAACAAAAAATATTTCACAATTTTATTGACTTACAGACTCCACATTTGAAGAAGCCATAGTAATTACCCAGTCCAGTTTCTTCATGTTACTTGGCTTATCTTTACTTAGTTATGTAGAGAAGTAGTTTGAAATATCACTAAGCCTAATAAGGGCACAATATTTAATATTGTAAGTTCCAAACCAGGCAAAACAAATCTATGGTGTTTAGAGTCAGAATATTGGTTCCTTCTGGGAAGGAGGAAGGGGACAGAGGAGGAGCCTCTGGTGATGTTCTATATCTTGATCCTGGTAGTGGTTAGTTCAGCACGTGATTAGTTGTGACATTTACAAGCTGTATACTTATAATCTATATATTTATATCTGTACATTATAATCTGTATATTACAAGCGGTGTGTTTATATGTATGTTATACATCAATCTAGAAGTTTATTTCCAAAAAAAGACCAATAGATAACTAAATCTAAGTTTTAAAAAATGTCATTTTATTTTCAATCCAATATTTAATTTAGAAACACATTAGCTTTTTTATTCACCTTTTTAATTTACATACAAATTCACTGTTTGTGGTGTACACATCATGAATCAGACAAAGGTATGCAATCAGACCACTATGAAAAAGACGCAGAACGGTTCCCTTATCCCAAAGATTTCCCAACCCCTCCCCTCACATTCAACTTCTGGCAATCACTTATCTGTTCCTATGATTTTGCATTTTCCAAAATGTCGTATAATTAGAATCACAAAATGCAGTCTTTTGAGTCTGGCTTCTTTCACTTAGCACCAGGCATTTGAGATTCATCCATGTTGTTACGTAAACCATCTTTTTTCATTCCATTCTGAGTCGTAGTCCAGGATTCGGATGTGCCTCAGCCTGTGGATTCATTCGCCAGGTAGAGGACATTTGGGTTGTTGCTAGTTTTTGGATTCCTGTACACGTTTCTTGTTTTTGCTTTTGTTTGTGAATCCTGATGGTGCAGAGATGAGAATCGCTATCGTGCAAACTCCAGTCATCATATTCCAGTCTGCCCTCCAAAAGGAGGAACAGGTAAAGACGATCCCACCTGACACTCTTCGTGTACAGTCTTGATGTGAATGAAAGTTTCCAGTTCTCTTGGGTAAATACCTACAAGTGGGATTGCTGGATTATATGGTAAGTACATGCTTAACTTGATAAAACACTGCCAGAATTTTTTCCAAAGTGGCTGTACCATTTGCATTCCCACCAGCAATGAATGAGAATTCCAATTGCTCTGCATCCTTGCAAACATTTAATATTGTCTCTTTTTTTAAGGCATTCTAATTAGTGAAAGAGGTCATTTTCACAGAAAACATTTGCCCAAGATTCTGCTAAAGGTACATATAGTACAAACTTCCAGTTATAAGACAAATAAGTCATTGGGATATAATGTACAGCATGGCAACTATAGTTAATAATATATTAAGTTTGTATGGTGACAGATGGTAACTAGATTTATCATGGTGATCATTTCACAATGTAAATATTGAATCACTATGTTGTGTACCTGAAACTAATATAATATTGTATGCCAATTATACCTCAATTTTAAAAAATTAAGTTTTATATTACATAGTAGCCCTCATTCATTATGGTGTCAAAAGTTACATATAATACATAAAGTAAATGTAATGAAAATACTTTCATATCATTACCAAGTCTCAAATTTTAATTGATTTACTTTTCTACCTTGTATCAAATGACTACAAGTTTCTGTATTGGTCCTACTCATTTCCATGTGAAGAATCTGACAGTAGGCAAATGACTAAGTGAAAGTAACAAAAAGAATTAATGATGACCCAAATAAATAGATACATATTACATTACATTAGATAGTATATATACTACATACCATGAGGACAAATTGCAAAAAATTGTTAAGACATCAGTTCTCCCCAAATTGGGCTAAAGATTCAATAGAATCCTACTCAAAATTCCAACTTGTTCTTTTGCACAAGTTGATTACAAACTATATGTGGAAACAATTCTAGAATAGTCAATTTTAAGAAAGAAGAAAGCTTGAGAACTTACACTGCCTGATTTCAAGACATCATAAAGCTACAGCAATCAAAACAGTGTAATTAATTACTGGCTAAATGACAAGACATGTAGATAAATGGAACAGAAGAAAAGACCCTGAAACAGACCCAGATATAGATGGTCAATTATTTTGGACAATAGTGCCATGGCAACTCAAGGGGAAGGCGAAATTCTTCAACAGCGCTTAATGAGAGATTCATGTGTTTTCTTAAAAAGAACATTAGCACTTACCTAACACAATATGCAAACAATAATTCTAAAAAGATCATAGACCTAAAAGAAAATATAATAGACAAGGATTTTTTAGGTAGGACACACACACACACACCCCACAAAAAAAAATTTCCCCTTTATTTAAAAAAAAATGAAAGAAAAAGAAAAAATACCTGCTCTTTGAAAGATGCTGTTGAGAAAACAAAAGGGCAAGCTGTATATTGGGACAAAAATATTAGTAAAATGTATTATGTATATCAGACTAAGGACCTGTATCAAAAGTATATAAAATACCCATACAACTCAATTACTAGCAAACCAATGAATGGGCTAAAGATTTGGACAAGTATGTCACCAAAGAACATGTAAGAATGACCCAGAAGCACAAGAAGAGATATTCAACATTATTGATCACAGAAATGCAAATAAAAAACCCTAGGTAGCATTACACACCCATCAGAGCAGCCAACATTAATAAGACTGATAATACCTAGTGCTGGTGTAAATGTGAGGGAGGAATCAGAACTCTCATACCCTGCTGGTGGGGATGTGAAATGGGACAATTTTTGGAAACAGCTTGGAAGTTTCTTATCAAGTTAAACATATATAATGCAGACATTCCACTCCAAGTTATTTACTCAAGAAAATGAAAAGCACATTTGTAATAGTTTTACTCATAAAGGCCAAAATGGGAAATAAGCCAAATGGATACACAAATGTGATCTTTTCATATCAGGGGAATATTGTTTATACAATGGAACACAATGCAATAAAAAGAAACAAATTATTAATACATAAAATAATATGAATGTACCTCAAAATCATTATACTAAGCGGAAGTAACCAATTAGAAATGGGTATATACTCTATGACTACATTCATAGACTTCCAGAAAATAACAGAGCAGAAAATAAATAAACCATGTCTGGCTAAAGTTTGAGGCTTAATGGAAATGTTCTGTATCCTGATTGTGGTGGTTTCACAGATGTAAACATCTGTCACAACTCATCAAATTACACACTTTGTACAACTGTCGCAGTTTATTGTACATCAGTCATGCCAAAATAAAGTTTATTAATAAATGAAGACTAAAGGGAAAGAGAGCCAAGAAAAACACAAACAAACAAAAAAAGGAAACAAACAGCAGAAAGGAGAAGCCCTGGGTCTATACATCATAATGTTTGGCCATACAACACCATATCCCAGGGTGTGAGTGGAATAGACAGCAAAATGCAAATCCCTGTGTAACTTATCGCGTTATAGAGTGCTAGGTCCCTGGGTCAGCTTTAAAAGTTTTATGCATGGCAGTTTATACCTTCAGAAGCCCACAATATCCATAGATTCAATCCAGTATTAAACATTTAGGAAGCATTTTGTGTGTAGGGGACCTGAAACTAGGGTGGATCATTCTGCTCCAGAGCTGATGTGACACAGTCACAGCAAAACCAGACTCAGATCTCAGCCCCACTGTTTATTAGCGGTATGACTTTGGGCAGGACTTCAGCCAGCCGGTGTCTGAGTTCTGTCACCTGTAGAAAGCAGTAATAGCACTTCAGGAGACTGTTGTGAAAATTAAATGTTTACTATGGGTAAAATTCCTTGAACAGGGGTGGGCACGTAACAATTACTTCATGAGTATTAGGTATTCATGTTTTTCTCTAATTTTAAAAAGTATATAATCATGGTAGAAATTTGGAAATTACAAAAAAGAATAAGTAACTGAATCATTTAAAACCTGCTCTTGAGAAATGGAATATGACTATGTAAATAAGTAATCATATTAGATGTATAAAATTCTGTGTAAATATCAGAATTTAACAATTCTTCCAGTACTGAGCTCATTACAAATAACGGTTCTACAAACATCTAAATACATATTTTTCCACATTTTATCTCTTTAGGAATTCACTGAAGTGGAATTATTGGATCAAGGTTATAATAATTTCAGGGCAAAAGTAGAGAAGATGGACATGTGTTATTTTTTAAAGCTTTGCCTATTTGAAAAATGGTATGTTTATCTCCTTGTTTTAATTTACAGTTCTTCAGTTACTAGTGATGTACATTTCCTCAAGTGAATTTGTTGGTTTCCCAGTGCACATGAAGGTTATGTGCATATATATATGTATATAAATAGACTGTAGTCTGTTAAGTGTGCAATAGCATTTTGTCTTTAAAAACATACATACCTTAATTAAAAACACTTTATTGCTAGAAATTGCGAGCCATCATCTGAGCTTTCAGCCAGTCGTGATCCTTTCGCTGCTGGAGGGTCTTGCCTCCGTGTTGATGGCCGCTGGCCGCCCAGGGTGGTGGCTGCTGAGGGTTGGGGTGGCTGTGGCAATTTCTTAAAATAAGACAAGGAAGCCTGCCTCATCAACTGACTCTTCTTTTCACAAACAATTTCTCTGTAGCACGTGATGCCGGTTGATAGCATTTCACCCACAGTAGAACTTCTTTCAAAACTGGAGTCCGTCCTCTCAAACCCTGCTGCTGCTTTATCGACTGACTTTATGTAATGTTCTGAATCCTATGTTGTCATTTCAACAGTCTTCACAGCACCTTCACCAGGAGGAGTTTCCATCTCAGGAAAATACTTTATTTGCTCATCCACAAGAAGCTGCTCATTGTCTGTTCCAGTTTAATCCCAAGATGGTAGCGATTCAATTACGTCCTCAGCGGCCACTTCCGACTTCAGTTCTCTTGTTGTTTCCACCACATGTGCGGTGACTTCCTCTCCTGAAGTCTTCAACCTCTCAAAGTCATCCGTGAGGATTGGAGTCAACTTCTCCCAAACCCTTCTTAATGTTGACATTTTTACTTTTTCCAGTGAGTCACCAATGTACTTAGTGGCATCTAAAATGGTGAATCCTTTCCAGAAGGTTTTCAATGGACTTTGTCCAGATGCATCAGAGAAATCACTATCATGGCAGTGTTACGACATGTATTTTTTAAAAATAAAACTTGAAAGATGACATAACTCCTTGATCCATAGGCTGCAGAATGGATGTTGTGTCAGCAACCATGAAAATATTAATCTCATTGTCTATCAGAGCTCATGGGTGACCAGGTACATTGTCAATAAGAAGTCATATTTTGAAAGGAATCTTTTTTTCTGAGCAGTAGGCTTAAAATAGCCAATAAACTATGTTGGAAACAGATGTGCTGTCATCCAGGCTTTGTTGTTCCATTTAGGGAACACAGGCAGAGTAGATTTACCATAACTCTTAAGGGCCCTAAGATTTACAGAATGGCAAATGAGCATTGGCTTCAATTTAAAGTCCCCAGCTGCATTAGCTCCTAACAGGAGAGTCAGCATGTCCTTTGAAGCTTTGAAGCCAGGCACTGACTTTTCTTTTCTAGCTGTGAGAGTCCCAGATGGCATCTTCTTCCGGTAGAAGGCTGCTTCATCTGCACTGAAATTCCATTGCTTAGTGTAGCCTCCTTTGTAAATTATCTTTGCTGGACCTTCTGGATAACTTGCTGCAGCTTCTACATCAGCACTTGCTGCTTTACTTTGCATTTTTATGTGATGGAAGTGGCTTCTTTCCTTAAACCTCAAACCAACCTCTGCTAGCTTCCAACTTTTCTTCTGTAGCTTCCTCAACTCTCTCAGCCTCCAAAGAATTGGAGAGAGTCAAGGCCTCGCTCTGGATCAGGCTTTGGCTTAAGGAAATGTTGTGGCTGGTTTGATCTTCTATCCAGACCACTAAAACTTTCTCCATATCAGCAATAAGGCTGTTTCCCTTTCTTATCAGTCATGTGGTCACTGGAGTAACACTTTAAATGTCTTTCCAGAACT